GTTAGCACCTATTGAGTCATCAGCAAGTTGTCTACTATTGATTTGATTACGTATCTTAGTCTGCTAACACCTCAAAGCTGCGTTGTGTTCCCTCGATAAGAATCGCCGCCCATAGTGCAGTTCTCCTTTCGGCCGAACGAGCCAATGTCGTCTATGTTATGAAAATATATTCGTTAGCTACCTCATGTTTTGTTTGTCCTTCTTTAACGCCTGAAATGACTGAAGTCGCATGCTTCCGGTCATATATATATATATATATATGGAAATAAGGAGCTTGCTTACTCGTTACGGTCTGACCATTGGCCGACAGCTCACCAAGTTGCGAGGGTGCTCCCTTGTTTCAGTACAGCTTTATTGGTGCATTGCTGTCTCTTCACGTGCACTACCACCGTATCTGGCCTCTTTGAAACAGCGTAGCAGTTACATGCGAAACACCTCCCGCCGCGGCGGTTGTCCAGTGACGAGCGAGGCCAGGCGCGTTGAGTCAAGCTTTCGAACGCGTTTGTCTACCTTAATGGAACGTTTGATCAGACCGGATCAGTTCGCCTTCAGTTTAATTCCGCGTCACATCTTTCGTGTTACGCCACGCCAACGAGCGTGCTGACGCAGCACGACACGAGACCATCACACACCTTAGCCCAGCCTCTTACGGAGTCCTGCTTGATGGTGTGATGAAATCGCTATACCGAAAAACGGTTAAAGGACAAAATCGAACAAAGCCACTTACAGGAGAGAAACTAGAAGCACTCTGGTAGAATTAACACCCCCAATAGGTCGATATAGTAGCGCGCAGCCAAAACCACAAACCCGGGCGCCTCTATCGTGCCTTCACAGCCCAACACATTAACTATCTGGATCGCGCCATCAATAATGCGACGATGATCTGAAACAGTACACGCTACTTGAGGTACTCTTCTGCTCTGCTATGTGGAACAGATGCTGCATTTCAGTTAGGAAACCTATCACAAATACTTCGATATGCGGTTCGACATCTTGTAATCCTGCCACTACAGTGAAATAAAACGAAATCAAGAATGATAAATCATTTTTGTTGCTTTTTTAAACATGTATCTCCATCGACAGATAACGGCTTTGTATAATTGAGGGATAGGTACACCCAAGTCAAAAATTAAAAAGTTTGTGTCGAGTCGGAGAGTAATATAACAGCCTTTCAATCGAATGGTTTCTCGCTCAGAACACAATTGATAGAAAACTCGTCCACTGGCTTAGTTGATCAGGACGAACACCCGCGGCCAGAAGGCACGACCAGCTGTAATAGGAAGGCGTGAACTAAAGATTGGGTGGGGAGGGGGTGACATCATCGGGGGAGCAACTATAATAGCAAGAGCAAAATCAACAATTTAGTAAACAACGACCTGCATTCATAAAGTGACTGTGATAGGCGTCGGTCGGTTCATCGTTACGTAATGCTGTCTCAATGCTGGGTGATGATGACTTTGGTGGCGTTATCGTCAACGTTGTTAGACGCTTCGTGGTAGGGGGCGCCTTGTGGCACTTACTAGCGAAAACGCTGTAGAAGGCTGACGGCGGCAGAAAAGAAAGTAGATTTGCTATGCTCCTCAGCTTTCACGACCAAACACGGTTTGGGCTGGCCATCGCTCACTGTTCCGAGTGCTAGCAAAAGTACGTTATTAGTTCCATAACAGACATTGACAAGCCGAAAAATTGCCAGTGATATATGTGAGACATCCGGCAAACCGTCTATTGAAAACGAGATTTTTTTTCTTATCGCTATAGCTTATTTTTAGTGGGAGGTAGTACATGTAGCTTCAACGGACTATGTCCGCCTGTTACGAAGCACGCCTCTACCACTTCAATGACGAACTAGAGTAACGGCGAAAAGCAATAACAATTTGCGTACGTTCAACGAACGCTACGTAAGAACACAGAACTTCCGAAAATGATTTGTTTCTTCACCTGGCAACGTCAGATCTTGAAGTTTATTGTTATTATTATTTTTTTTTTTTTTTTTTTTACAAATCACTATACATATGTAATGCTTATGAACGTACACGAACGATAAACGAGTGCGGCCGAACTTTGCATTCGTGCATCAAATGGTCTTCTAAGCTTGATCTAAGACATTTACCATTAGATAATTGACAGAGCATCAGAGGTGACTAGGGTCGCGATGACAAGAAGGTCGTTTTTATTAGCAGTTTCTGTAACGTGACCACCGCAAGTACGAAAATGGAACGGGGAAACGAAGCGGCACGCCGCTTAGCCACTTCCCTTGTCCTTTCCGCTGTTCACTTTAAGGACGACGTTTACCGCAATAACAAACTAGTTGCAGTGGCGAACTGGTACTCCAGCAAACATTGTTCACTTCTTATCTATGTCACTTCCACTCCACTACTCTTGAGTAGGACAAGTGGGCCTAACTATTCAGCAGGTTAGCCAGGCAGTTGTGAACATAGAACACGCTGATATACCACATATTGCAAGAGAAGGCAGGATAGATCCGTTCGTGGGCTGAATAACCCAACAGAAATAATCGGGCTTGATTTGTACAGCAACAAGAAGGCTTCTTGGCCTTCGACCTCGGACACTATCAGATTGCCAGATAAGGTAGTAGAATCGCAAAATAATACGTCCCTGGCCTTTTTTTAGACAAACAGTTATCGAGGAATAGAAGTGAATTCGCTGGTTCAAGGTGTTGGTATTCAACGATTAGATTCACACTCGTATCTGAAAGCTGATCATATCTACGATAGGTACACTTCTACTGCGTACCAGAACGCTCATTGCACGCTGACTCAGTCTAATGTCCGACAGGAGAAACCCAAGTCAAAAAAAGGCATAGCTCTGGGACGAACAGAAAAGCCACGTGATGGAACCGAACTGCTCATCCCAACGTGCAATAACGTCAGCAGTAAAAGTCCTATGGCTATTTGCTTTTTGAGGCTCAATAATAATGCAAGAAAGACGAAGCGGTGTTAGAAAAATAGTTTTCGTTTTTATGCTGTTTACTTAAAGACCAATTATGTGTTCACACAATGCATTCTTTAGCGGGTGCAACCCGACCAAGTAGCGACAAGAAAACGCTCACTATGTGCATCGTCGCTGAACGCTCAATCATGGCACTGGTATTCGTCACCCCCCCCTAATCGTCGCCCTTCGTTCGCCGCCTCTCGGTTTTCTACGACGAAAAGAAAATAAGATAAAGACCGAAAACGCCAAAGTGCTGAAAACAAGGCGGGCAAGCAGAAGTACAATACGCTGAACTTCGGCCTTCTCGGTGCGAATCGATTGGTTTACTAATATCTCCTTAGTTAAGACCTTAAGTTGAAGTCTACCATCTGAAACATGCAAGCCCTATTGCGCCGCATAGCTAACACCACCATATAGCCATACGACCATAACGACCATACAGCGCAGCATTATCACTTCGTACGTTCGGGTACAACTGGCCATTGGAATCTTCAGCCGAACCGTTTACGTTCTACTTACTCGAAAACTTTCTATTTACAAATTTCGGATCGTGTATGTCTTTCTTGATCTCACTCCTATTGAAGGGTGTTGGTTAGCTGTTATTGAGCTAGCTATGACCGCCTGTCCGTTTACAGCGAAAACTCCAAGGCGTACTCCGTATACCCGCTTGAGGCTTTCAATATGATTGCTATAACATCTGACATATAGCATCTAAATATAACTGGCCTGCGCTTGAACACATCCTATAACGAGCTTCTATGGCCGTTGAACTGATGCGCGCGGCAGTTCGTTCCGAGCATGTTACTCTTGATTATTCTCCACCAAAAATCAACGGAGTTTCTCGCTGTTGCCGCTGCTTCTAGAGGCCGTTGGCTGTTGCTGTTCAGCGTAATGCCTCGCATAAGAGTATCGCGGAGTAAAGAAATGCGAAAGGTTCGTACCCTGAACGACCTGCCCTCATGCCCTTCCTTCAAACCCCGGCTGTCTCCTTTGCCCCGTACTATTTCTGCGACATGCTGAGCTACTCAAGAATGCGCAATAATACTAGTGCACAGTAGGTAGGTTCGAGCCAAAACGAGAGCTGGTCGTTCTCGAGCTCGTGATGCCGATGACTTGGCTATGGGCCGTATATCGAAGGCGACGGCCATGGCGGTGGAGGCGGCAGTTATAGCGACAGAGTTGAGTTTAGTAGGAAATCTCAGACATGACAACACCTTCTAGATGAAACGACGGAGGACTGAATAGAAAAAAGCGAAACAAGAAAGGACGGCCAGCTGTGGTGAGCTAACACAGATGAACGACCACAACAGCGAGCCCTGGCAACGTTGACTTGAACGCCAAATAAATTTGTAATATTACCAGTGCTCACGTTTATTGGTGGTCCGCTAGCGACGGGTCGGTGCGAACGTCTACTATCGCAGGACAGAATATTTGAATAGAGCTGCTAGGCCTGGGTAGCTCTTTTGGAAAGAAGGCCAGACGAGAGATGATTGAACCGAAGCTTACGCTGACAGTTTCTGTTTGAATAGGGCGAATATCATAATATGATACTCTTAACCCATAATGCATTAGAAGCTGGTCCCCACTATACTACGAGCGTCATTGTTAACGATCTCCGAAAAGTTTCGGTCGCCAAAGCCAAGAAGGTTTCGACCAAGGCCAAGTTTCGACTAGAAAGTTGTGTACGTTTTCAAAAAAAGAAAATCCGTTTTCGGTGGTCCCTTTGACGTTTTTTTGCGGAAAATTGTTACGAATACGAATCGCAGTGTTGAAATAGCAGGGTGAACTGGGTGCGTCCGAGAATTTATTAGCCGTAAATTTCTATGTGCACAAATACACGAGACATATATGAATCACGAAATGGAGGTGAGGGCTTGGGTCTTGCACTCGTTGGGATATTGTGCGACAGAAGTCAACAGGGATTCGAACTTCACCACGATATTTGAAAATTTCACTTTATTCATTGACGTTTAGTCTTAGAAACGCTTCCTGGAAAGTTCCATGATTTTGCCAAACTGAAATCGCTGTGTAGATAATCATGAACTTACCTGTAGGTACATGATAGGGCTTCGACATGCGCGACTCGCTTGCTTTACGTCTCCGTCGAACTGAAAAGTTACAAGATAGATTATTAAAGACTCGAGCTTTTGGCAGTATTCCGATAACAGCAATAGCAGTGAATGCTGTACAAATCAATTCAATATGTGTGAGAAAAGGATCAGTCGCATTTCGGATTAATCTACCTTATTTTGTTTTCATATCGAGTAAGCAGATCACTTTGCTCCAATTCTCCGAAGCTAAGTTATGGAAGGCGCAAGGGAGTTAGGTCAATACATTTCCCTGCGCGTTGTCCCTTAAAGGCTTATCGAGAAGGAAGGCATTTTCGAAAACTATACCGTGATTAAGTTCTTTTGTTTAGATAAATGAAGCCCCGCTCTGTGATTTCGGTACATAGCTAGACGACAGCTACATGTTCGTCAATGAGGGGCAATCAGAAAACCGTATCGAGGAGCACCTACTAACTGCTTCCTGCCACTTATGATCAAAAAATGACGTCCCGGTTGAATGAACTTCACAAGCAAGGATTAGTATTGGAAGCATTTAAAACAACTCCATGTCGATCTGTAGACCGGATTGATTTCGGATAACGAGCAGGGCAAACCTTCCGGTACAGATGCATTACCTGATTTCGCTCTACAAAAATCGATCGGCAAACGTTTCTTACTACTCTCTTTTTATTGTCCACTTTCAACAACAACTATCTAGCTACCTTAATTACAATGTGGTGTTATATTTGTTTTAAAATTCGTCTCGGAGTTGTAGAGTGGCAGTTAATTACACTTGTGCCCGTTTTAATTTTTAAAAATTTCTCAATTGCCGATAAAAGTGGACGTTGGCCTTCTGATGGCGAATACATTCACCTCCGACACGAAGAATAAGGTAATAAAAAATTATTACCTTATTTTTTGTTTCCATAAGAGACAACTTTCAGTTTCTTTTTGCCTCAGCAGGCTGGAACGGAGGTTTCAAGGGATGCCACGTTGGCCATGCGCTCATTCCTGCTGACGCCGTTTAGGAGACCTGTGCGAAGCAGCTTCAATGGCTATTGTTAGCTGCGGAAAATCTGTGTTGTAGGGTATTTTATAGTTAGCCTTTATAGAATTTAGCCAAATAGCCGAAACCCGTTATCATTGGTCTTTCTAACCATCGTCTACGCAATGAGCAATGTTGCATTTTGATTCCAAAACAAAACGAACTTTTCCTCTCCATATTTTTTTTAATTATGTGCATGCAGCAGCGGACACCGCGAGTATGTCCACAAACCTTTGTTCTTTTGATTTACTCTTATATCTTGTCGTACCGCAATATTACTGCACGCGCTATGTTCCACTGACATCAAACAGGTGCACTACGTAATTCTAGAATCTGTATCTATGAACGTATTGTTACCCGAGGGCTCGCTTGGACGCGATGTGCCCGCAATTGTTCTGTGCGAATTCAACACAGGTCGAAGCCTAGGGCCTTGCAACACCGGGGTTGTCATAAATCGTTTTCTCGTCAACGTGATAAAGTTAACGAAGCCAGCTGTAGCAACGGTAGCGTGCCCCGCAAGACGCTTGAGAACCATGACGTCAACAACATCAACGATATGCTTTCTGTACGCGAACTTTGAGACAGAGACCAATTCACCTCTCACTGAACGATTTAGTCGAGGCTGGTTCGGCCCCAGGCAACCCGGTCTCATAAAGACGGCTAGCTATGCTAGACCGTACTACGACAACTATTACTATTATATAGCATGACCCAAGCGACTCTACCCGGTTGTGTCATGGCGTCGAGCCCTTAGAGCGTTAGTTTCTAACGAAACGTCGAGGCGGGATCCACTGACCGCGGGCTTCGGGCCTGGTTAGACCACTTCCGTGAAATTGCTCTTCGTTAAGTGCAGATAGACCAGGCCTGATGTCCAGTCTGAGTGTCTCGACGACGTTTGTAGCAGCGGCAGCCAGATAAACCGTATGAATATCAAAGACCGTTCGCTTCTCACGCAGCGCAACGGAACTCCGCAAGACGGTAGGGGCTGTCGCAAATAATATTCATGTCTACTTAAGTGATCTATATCCGTTAGCAAGTTGATTAGAGAGATCTCACCCAAAAGATTAAGGAAGAGAGGGACTCAGCACAAGAACCTCCCTGAGGCTGAATGTTGCTTCCTAGCAAATTTGGGAAAAAACTCTTTATCCTCGTATTATTTCGTGAGCTTAATAGAGGTATACGAGTATTTATATATTCAGTCGTTTAGGTTATTACCTTTATCACAAATATCTTCGTGGTACAATGTACAAGTGCAACTAGAAGCTAGCTTCTTTAATGACGAGGAAACACTTCCTGTCGATCGATGGCCATTCCTCGGTCACTTATATCGGAAGCGCTCATACTTAGGCATGCAAACGTTCGCGACTACGGTGATACTGTAGATCCAGGTGGTAAAGCAACCTGTTTCGTGATTACAGCACTGTGGTTTGTGAGCGCATTCAGGAGATAGATCGGCATCGAAAATTTCAACAATGGCGATGTTCAGCTAGACAAGGCGGTCCGGGTTCAAGCAGTAAGACCTGGGTGGGTTTAGTTAACATTGATTATATGGACAATAGGCTGAGTGTGTATATATTAGACTTCCCATGGCGGGCAGCAGTGTCATTTTTGGGCAGTAGCCGAGTCAGTATATACACAGTGGAGATTTCAGTGTGTCGCAAACTAATAAAAAATGTTCCATGTAAACTTCCGATATACCTTTACCCCCACCAACACTGTAGCCGTCACGCTATTACACATCGGTAGTGTCCCGCGACCACGCAGCGGCCGGTAACGGAGGTAAACGTCGCACATTGCAGTTTTCCGATTCTCCAAAGACCAAACGGAGTTGTATACATCGCCTGAGGCAGCAAGGCATGAGACTATGCTGTGTCTCCTGCTAGAAGCAACAGGACTACGGATGGCGGTAATTTGGTCGGCATGTCAGATGCAGGAGTAGTTTCAGCACTGGAGGCTTTGACCATAGCTTTGTTCAAATCATTGCTTTGGCTGCAGGTCGGCCATGTTGTGCCGTTACGGCGGTGGTAAATTGCATTCAGTCCGACAGAAAGTCTTTATGCCGTCGCGTCCCAGTAGCCGTGTCGTCCTGGCTAGCACAGAAGATCAGCAGAAGGTCCCTGTGCTCTCAGGCTTTTCGGGGCGGCTTTAGCATACACGCTAATGTCCAAGCCATGCTTTCCAAAACGATCTCCAACCGTCGTCGTCGTTGTTTCTCTCTTCAGTTACGCAAGAATCTCTTTTCTTTGAAAAGTATGACCTGAAAGTGCCGGCAGCAATGTTTAATATCTATCCGTATGGAAACGTACTTATTCGACAAGCTTTTCCCTTTTGTCGTTACGGTACGGGACTGCGAGACGAGGATGCTCTCGAAAACGGCAGAATTTTCGTTGAACTATCGACGAGTTTAGCTGGGCCTAACTAAGCCTGAATCTGAGTCCGCACTGCTGAGGACGCCTTGTCGAGTCCGCCGGTGCACACACAGAAGTCGCTGGGACAAAAGGAGCCAAAAAGGGAGCACGTGAAAGAGAAAAAGAGAATTATCGGAGCCAGCGCCAGTGCGGACACAGCTAACGCCGAAGTTAAATAAACTCTTTGAGCGATATCGACAGAACGAGCAAAGAAGTGTACGGAATTCGAGGAGAGAAAGATATCGGCGGCGAAGGGCGAAATTCCCGCTTCATTGGACCATCTGGCATTGGAAAAGTATAATGGCGATAGATCCGCCACAGAATTGGCCTGTCTGTTCCTGCATTAATGCTTCGAAACCGGCTGTACGCAACGCAGCTCCCCGCCTACGACTGCATCTGCCTCTGACGCCGAAGGCCAGTCAAGTAAAACGAGTGCACAGAAAACGCACTTGAGTACGCAGGCACGCTGCCATCCTGGCCATATCGTACCGCGCATTTACCGTTCAGTAGCAAAACTATACATTCAAATACCTGTCGCGACTAAAGTACACTCTACAAATCACTACAGGAATTAATCAGGACCCTTAGCGTCACTTGCTATAATAAAGATATCACTACGCTGGGTTACATATAGATGTGAATTCTAGACTTAGAGAGAAACTCGAATTGTAAGGCGTGCCACTGCTGCACGTGTTACTAGAGCTGTCGCTGTCCTCTCTGTTTACCTGGCAGCGGCTTGTTTGCTTGATTCCTGCCGTTTTCGAACCCCGGGAGCTTCAAAGTGGCACCAAAATGCACAGGTTTCTCAAGGCCAATAGATACAATGGAATTGACAGAGAAGATTGCGGGTCGGAGATTGCGGCTAGAAACTTGAGGCAACGTGAGGGTCAGGGCTAGGTGAGGCCGACGAACGAACCTTCATACGGAAAGCTCTCCTTTTTTTCTATAAATGTAAAAGCAGAATTGATAATGGCTAGATTGGACGAAAAAGCGCGAAGTTACGCAGGACAGCTGTCCTTGCTTCTATAGTGTCATCGACCAACGTGTATAGGCGTTTAACAGGAGAACCGTTTTCAAACAGTTATACAACTTTTAGCTCTGACTCTACCGACGCCAGGATTTCTGGTTATGACAGCAGCGGCAAAGTCAACAAAACCCTGCGAGAACGAGCAAAGTTCGGAAGTAGGTCAAGGAAAAAGAACCCTTTGTTAAATAGTTTTTATGTCTTCTAGCAAGGTATAATCTCCTTTGTGATCGGTCTTGGTCATTTTAGGCTGTCAAAAACATTTGAAAGAGTACAATTATTGTTGCAGTTGTTTTGTGCTATTTGAAAAATCGTTTACTAGAGCTCGGTCGTTTTTCTGTACTCTTCGTTGTTACACGTGAGTCAAGCGTTCGATGGTACGCAATGTACTAAATGATTACCAAACGAATTGACGAATGTGTACAATAGAGAAGTTGCAGAATAATTAAAATTTACTTTTACTAATTAATTAAAATTGTCCTACGCTTCTGCGGCTTCTTATAGGACACCCTTTGTAGGGCGACGTCAAACAATTATGCACTGATGTCCTGAAAGGTCAAATATCTCCATTCAATTTTGTTAT